TTAAAACCAAACGAAAAGTCAAACTATTTTGATATTCAGTTCTCAGTTTGAGTGGTGCAATTGGTTTAATTAGTAAAACTCTTGATTTGCCGGTTTGATGTAACTATATTTGCCTTTATGCCCAATGGTTTGATCCCAAGCCTTAGTACTTGGGTGAGGCGGTGATCAGAGTTTCGAGCTCTATTACCGTCGTGAACTCCACCAAAAAGTAGCTTGATGGCCGTGTGCCTCATTTGAGGGGGTGGAATGTTCACCCGATCTGAAAATCTCAGTTGCTAACAACTAACTCATACTAACTTCCTAACTATTATCCTTGTAAAATATATATATATATATATAACTATATTTTTATGCACATCTTTGGACGTCCATGAAAGTGGCTTTAGTGGTAGGGCACGTGTCTTGACTTTTGAGGCTGTTACTTCGAATTCATGGAATCATGTCTTTAGGTTAATAGGATCTTACATAGAATAAATATATTTTAAATCACGATCAATCAAAGAAACTATAGCATATTTATTGGTATAAATTTTATTTTGTAACTAAAGGGCTGGGAGTTCGACTCTTCTAATACCATTCAACAATTTATTAAAAACTTTTTAGAACTATCATGAAATAAATAATAGTTGAAGGAGCTAATGTCACAAAATATGTCATTGCTCTAGTGGCAAATTGTTGAACTAAATTTCTTGAAATTGCAAGTTTGATTTTTTTTTTTAACAACAAATATTATTTTATTAATAGAGTACAAGGGGTACTCTTATCCATTTACATCAAAATCTCACAAAAAGAGTTTCTCAACCTAAATAACCATCAATCAGCAACCTTATCAAATTGTATATCCAAAAACAACTCAAATCAAGACCAATCTTCCCAATTCAGATTCCCTGTACTCTACTTAAACCACTTAGTGCATTCTCTTGGTGTCATGATCCAATCCATTAAAGAAAAGTTCAACTGCTTTGCTCTCCCTGTTATCCAATGATAGGATCATCTTTGAACTAAAGCAAATAATTTTTCTTTATTAATTACAATGTCTTTGAAAATGTATTCATTTCTATATAACCATATGGTCCAAACAACGACAAACCATACAATTCTCCCATCCTCCACTTTGCTTCTTTATTTTGAGCGGCCCAACATGTTGTTGGAAAGCCTTTTTAAAATTGCAATGCATAACATAGCTCAAACCCCACCATCTCAAGCATTTTATCCATAATTTCCAAGCATCAATGCAATTCAGTAATAAATGATCCACACTCTCAATACACAACCTACACATATTGCATATTACTTGAGATTTCTCTTTCAATATTCCTCTAGCGATCAAATTGTCTTTAGTTGGAATTCTTTTCTGTAAAGATTGCCACATAAAAGCACTCACCTTCTTCGGAACTAAAGGGTTCTAGCATATTTTCATAGCTTTTGCACCTTCTTGATCTGAGGGCTGCATTAGCATTTTGTAAGCTGATTTCACTGAGTATTTTCCATCATTCGTCCTTGACTAGATCCATTTATCTTTATTGCTCACCACTGGTTTGTTCTCTTGCAGCAACTTCAAAAGCTGTGTAATGGAACAATGTTTGGACTTTTTATCCCCAAGAATTAAATAGTGTAGTTGAATGGTTTATCAGTTAATTTTGGTTCAAATGGTTTTGATGGTTTGAAATGGTTTAACTACATAAATGATTCTAAATATTGACCTGAATCATTTAAGCTATTGAGGGTTGGTTCCAGTGGTTTGACTATCTGGTCTGATCTAGTTTTCAAAACAATGCACACAAGTTTTATATGCTACATTTATATAAAATTTTAACCATTCATCTCTTTACTTTCAATAATTGAGATTTATTCATATTTATTAAAGAATAATTTTTTTATTTAAAAAATTGTGATAAATCCTAACTATTAAAAGTAAAAAAATAAATAATTAAGATTTTGTGTAATTGTGATGTATAAAATTTTTATGTAAGTGAATCCCTTATATAAATTGTTGAGATTTTATATAAATATGGTATGTAAAACTTATATATAAGTAAATCTCTATTATATATATGTGGACTGCAAAAGTTTTGATATTTTTTAAGGATTTTTTAATTTATGCTTTTAATAGTGTATTTATTGTATTTTTTTTACAATATTGTTAACATACTTAAAAATTGAAACATACATTAATTTTTTTACAATATAATTTTTTATTTTTCATATAAATTAATTTCTAAAAGGTACATTCATTTTATAAACACCCCCTCACATATATATGTCAATGACTTTAAAAAGTTTGAATTTGAATCATATAACATGCAAATAGGGGTAAGTTATGGGATAAAAGTGACTTATGGAATAAAAGAGAGTTGTCTTTTATTGTATAAACTAAAAAAAAATACTATATATTTTAAAGGATAAAAAGTATTTTAATGCATTTCATTTAAAAAAGTAAAAAAGAGAATCCTTCAAAGAATATTATAAGCAATGAGGATAGACTTCAAATTGAATCATCCAAGGTTTAAAAATTTCTAACAAGACACTTCTGTTCAATTAGCGAATTATCTCAAATTTGCCATATACTTACGCTTTTTTCTACCTATGTTCAATATTTTGTAGGTATAGATCACCATTAGTTACGGTTTACAATTGGTGGATATATAAACTAAGTTATACTTACACACATATACTTACACACATAAACAAGCTGTAGGGAAAAGAGGACTATACCTACATAATTTACTTGACGTAGATACACAAAAGAGGTATTAACTATGGTTTATAATTTGTGAGCATTTGAATTTAAGATATACTTACACACATGAAAAAAATTGTAGAAAAAGAAGGACTATACCTACACAATTTTATTTGGCGTAGGTATATGTCATAACCCAATTTTTGCTTGGCCTATTTTAATATTTTTACAAAATATAAAAAAAAAGGAAAAAAAAAAAGAGAAATCTTGATTTTTCTAAATATTAATTTCTCATAAATTCTTATGTTTTAAACAAAAATTTAAAAAGTTTGAACTTTAATGTGATGTGGAAAATTAACTTAGAAAATCTGTTAAAGAAAAATCGAGATTAAATTGAATTAATGGCCTTTTGTACTCAATTGAGAAAAATTTTAAAATGAAAGTGTCATCCTACAGGGACCCAATTGTGATAAGGAAGGAAGTTGAGGACCGAAAAGATAGGTCGCGGAATATGTGGATCGAAGCATAAATCCAACCTCTTCAAATATGTTGTCGTTTCACTGAAGCAGGGGAAAAAATCGAGGTCATCTTCCTCCTAGCCCAACAGCCCACCGTTAATGCCGTGCGTTGCCATGGCAAAGTTCTTCACGGCTCAACCCCTTAATCCGATGATCAGCCCATACCCTAGCCAAGGTTTGTGTGGGATTCGGATATAAAAGGTAAACATTTTAGGGTTTTGGGGGCCCTCTTTCGATCTCAAATTTGAGATTTTTGGGGGAAAAAAGTAGGCTGGAAGATTGATACTATGAAGTTAAGGAAAAAGTAGGAAAATGTTTACTTGATAGTTTCTCTTATTAATTACTGTTTCCATTGTTATTTATAAGTTCATGTTACTGATGCCATATGAGTTGATATCTGTAACAGAGTCAATGTCGACGACACGTGGGTCACCTTCATTTTCTAAAATTAAAGAAAATGGCAATCAATGCACAATGTTTATGGAGAGTAAAAGTTGCACATATAGAACTACGGAAGTTAAAAATGGTGTTGTCCTCTTTCTTTATATCTTTACTCTTCTCTCAATATTCTTTATTGGGTTCTAGGATACCATGGTATCTGGGTTATTTAATCTTAATTTTTAATTATTTTGTAAAATAAAATTTGATTGTTTTATAATGATTATATTCATGATTTCCCAAAGTTAATTCTTCACGAAATTCTACAGGCTGCAAAGGAAGCTACTGCTCTCCAAGAAGACAAAATCAAGTTGGAAAAGGAAGTTGAAGAGCTCACTTTCCACCTGCAGCTTGAGAAACAAATGAGGTTAGATTCTTTTTTTATAGATGTTCTCTTGCAAATAAATTTTCTGCTTGTAAGCTATATGTTGTTAAAAGATGCCATTTCTTTCTATTTAGGCTCATGCAGAAGCTATCTTCTTCTTCTTCTTTCTTTCTTTCTTGCATTCATTTTCTCTTCTTTCTTTGTTCTTCTTTTTTTTTTTTTTTTGGATAGACCTTTTTTTTTACCTGCCTAACTTCTTGGTCTGGGAAACATTATTAGAAAGAATAACAAAGAAACATGAGACACTAATCTATGATGTTCTTATTTCTCTAGAATCTGTAAACTGCATGGCTATTTGGGAAATTTGGTATTGTTTGTTTCTAAAGGTATGCAACAATTGATGCAGTCTGACCTTGAGAAAGAGATGCAGCTACAGTCACAGGAAAATGTATAGTTAAAGCCTGCCTTGGAAGAGATACACCTCCAGTTCTAGGAAACAAAGGCATTGCTAATCAAGGAACGTGAGGCTACAAAGAATGTGGCTGAGCATGTTGCTGTCAATGAAAGTGAGGCTACTAAGAAAGTGGCTGAGCAGTCTGTCACTTAGGAGGTCCCTGTTTTTGATAATGAGTTAATGGCTAAACTCAAAGCAAAAAATCAAGAATTAAAGGTTTGACTGTGACTTTGTTGCTTCTCATACTGGCTTGCTAATCTGATAATGATTTGGCTAAACTCAAAGCAGAAAATCATATAATGATAGGCATTTCACCCATCCTCGATCCGCTTTTTCTTCGATTTTCCTCGCTGAACTTTGTGTTTTCCCAGAAATTTGTCTCTTTGTTCTGGTACTACATTGTGAATCCTTCTCTCTCTCTCTCTCCCATTCTCGAGCTTCTCTTGTTTATTTCCCTGGATTAAATTTATCCTCTTATGGATATTTGGAGTTACTTCCATTTGTTGAATACTTTTTGATTATCCTCTATTATGCAATCTCTTAAAACTTACTAATTTCTATGCACTGAACAAATATTCTTGTTGAACCTTGAACAATCCATGAGTGCATACTTGCGGTTTGTGTTGTTCTCTTGTATAAGAGATCTTCAAAACATTAAAAAAGCCTGCAACTTTTGATTGTATTTCAATTCAATTAGTTGATTCCAACAGAATGTAACTTGTTGAACATGGTACACACAGAAAGTATTAAATCTGAAAATTTTGATAAATTTTCTTGTTTTTTATGTACAATGTTCTTATCATGCGATTCCAATGAAAATCTTAATGCTATGTATTCATTTATTTATTTTATGGTAGAACGGTTCGTTCAATGGTGATATCATTCAAGAGCATTGTTCGTGAGATTAAGGAAATGAAAGGTGGAATCTGTGGTGTATCAAAGAAAGGTTCAGACTTGAAGCATCTACATCGCCAATCGCATATTGTTCCCGAAGCCTTTACAGTATTAGTTGATCAGGTTCGTTGGGCATATTTGCCACCTGAATTGCTTTTCGACATAATTAGGCTGGTAGAAGCTAGCGAAATGTCCTGGCCTGCTAGGAGAAATGCTATTGCTTGTGCTTCGGTTTGTAGGTCATGGAGGGAGCTCACAAAAGAGATAGTCAAGACTCCAGAGCAATGTGGGTTGCTAACTTTCCCCATCTCTCTCAAGCAGGTACATTTTACCATTTATGTGTCATTAGTTCTTCTGTTTTGCCATCAAGATTCTAACTTTTCCATATTTTGGTCTTTCATTAGCCTGGATCTAGAGATGTCCCAATTCAATGCTTTATTAGGAGGGAAAGGGAGACCTCAACGTATAGATTGTATCTGGGTTTGAGTCCTGGTAATTATCATTATACTGCCCCGGTATACTGTTAATGACTTATATGTGTTTGCTAGGAACTGGGTTAGAATTGTTTTATCCTGCAAGCTTCTACTCTTTTATTCTTTTGGTACTCCTAGTCCTAGTTTTCAAACTCAACAACTTCTAGATATCAATTTCTCTTGGCAATTTAAGGCAGATTCTTCCCATCTTCTATGCTTCTATTCGTTTGGTTTTTGTAGATTTCTAACTCAACAAATTATACATATCAATTTCTGTTGGCAATTCACTGCAGATTCTTTTTGATGTGATATTCCTTACTTATATCTTAACTGCAACTGAAATCATGTTAACCCTAGAGTTTATACTACTTGTTTTTTTTTTTTTTTAGCAACATTCATAGTGCTTGTTAAGTTTTTTTCTTTCTAATGCCTTTACCTTCTTTTCCCAATGCTCTTATGCCTTGTTTAAGGGAAAAAAAAAAAGGCTTAGAGTCCTGACTCATTTATTTTGTGTGGTGTTGCAGAGGAAAGCTGTTCTCACATATATTTTGATTGCTGCTCAGTGAGTTTGGGATTCATAGCTAGTAGCAGGGAAGTTGAATGGAGGAGGCTTAGGATAATTTGTGGACTGAGGAACAACAGAACTAGGAATCTATGCAAGGTGCTGATCATGACTGGATCATTGATCTGCAAAGAAAAGTTGTTTTCACTTAGAATATTTTTAGGACAAGAGTCTTACACAGGTATAGATTATAGAGTCTATAGGGAAATTTTTAGGGCTTATTCAAGGTGGTAGACAATAAATAGTATAAGAGTGGTATGGGATTTCCATGGGGATGCCTGGGACGTTTGTTGTATTTTTTTCATTTTAGGCCATGTATCTTGCATTCTTTTTAGAAATTTTAAATGAAATTACATACTTCTTGTTCTTTAAAAATATCTATATTTTGTTATGTTTGAAAATATTTTTAAATTGAAATTAAATTCTTTATAATAAGTTTTAAATTTTAAAAATTTAAAAAATATTTATTAGTAGCAACTAATATATTTTTAAAATATTTACAATGACAAAAGTCGTTGCAAAAAGGTGTATTTTTCAATGTTTTAGTTATCACTAAAAGAGGCATTTTTTAACAATTATGAATTGTTGTCAAAAATACAATTTATAATGGTTTCAGTTGTTACTAAAGCATTTATTCCCCAACGATTACTCACTTGAAATATTGCTTACCACAACAATTAATTCCATGCAAAATATTATTTTATGAAACAATTAAAATAGTTAGGAAATATCTCTTTTAGCAATAACTAATATTGTTGCAAAATACATTTTTTATAACAACTTTTATCGTTACAAATATTTCTTTAAATAATAATTGAAGTTGTTTTTTTATATTACTTTTATCGACAACTTGTTGTTTCTAAATATTATTTTTAGAAATAATTATGATTGCTGTAAAATATAACTTTTGGTAACAATTTATGGTATTGTTAAATAATACTTTTGGCAACAACAAATATTAAAAGGTAAAAGATAATAACGTAATTACTATTTTGATGTTGCCATTAGTATTTATGTATGGCTCATAAGCGTAGGTATTTCTTTTTACTTATGGTATTTTAGATGTAAGTATAGGCTCAGTAAACCTTTACCTACAAAATGTAAAAGTGTAAGAATACGTACAAAAATGTAGTTAGATATCTATAGTTACGGGACATATACTTACACTTTTTTTACTGTAGGTATAAGTCTTGAGAGGCATATACCTACAGATTTTTATCATATATCTATGGTTTTTGTCCATAGCTAAATGACAAAAATGCTGTAGTGGCGCTCACGTAATATCACCATTTGCAAATCATAAAGGAGAACGAGATAGAGTTTCTCAGGTGAGGGAGAGTGGAAATGGAGTCCTGATTCGAGAAGATGTCCATTTGGCAGGGAATGTGACTATGTAAGGAAGAAAGTAAACTACTAGATCTATTAAGAGATGTTAAGATTTCAGAAGGGAAAGAAGATAAGAGGGTGTGAAAATTTGATGGTGGTGGGGTATACTTTGTCAAGAAAGCAAATTCTTTAACAATGCCGACTTACAGGATCTTGGATCGTATGTATATTGCAAAGCCATTTGGGACAATCTTGTTCTGGGCAGAGTTACCTTCTTAATTCGCTCGAAGAATCTTTTTGAACAGGTTACCTTCTGAAGTCAATATGCTTAAACTAGGAGTCCAAGTGGATGAAAGATGCAACAAATACATGAGATGTTGAAAGGAAGCAGAGGAGGGGGGTCATGCCATTCTCAGATGTGATTTTGCATATCAAGTGTGGATGAAATGTCTGGAATGATGGGGGTTATTACATACTGCTTTGCCAAGGTCAATTCAAGAAGCATGTAATCAGATGGTGTCTGGGCGTAGCTAGAAAGATCAAGGTGAAACGAGCGTGGGCATTTTAATTTCTTGTAATAGCACTGTCTCTATGGAATGCGCGCAATAATTTCGCGTTCAAGGGGCAGGATACTTCAATGTAGGACGTATTTGAGGTCATACGAGTTCCGTCGTTTTTATGGCTGAAAGATAGATCAACGGGATTTTTATCTTCTTTATTTGATTGGAGAAATAGGCCTTATGAATGTACGGCAGCAATTTGAGAAAGCAATTGATGGTTTATCAAATGAAATGTTAGAGTATGAAAGGAAAAAATTTTGTGTAAATATATAGGCAGGATTATTCTTGTACTCTAAAATAATAAAATTCTTTTAGTAAATAAATAAAAAAAAGGATAAAATTTCTCAAGTATGATGCCCATGCATGTGGTCCAGGGACAGAGCCAATGAAGGACAAGGGGGGCAGCCACCCCCCTGAGCTTTTGAAAAACATTTAATATGGTATTCTAATTTTTGTTTGTTAAAAATTTTGTTTTTATAGTATGAATTTAAGGAATTATTTCAAATTTAGAGAAAATATTCAAGATCTAAATAAAAAGTTTTCAAAAAAAAAAGAGGATATAATTCAAGTAAAATGAATTTATATCAATTAAATAATTAAGAATTAGAATTCTTAAATATTTTTTCATCTATTAAACTCAAAAAAAGACCTTGATTATCTATTTAAACAACTTTAAATTTAAAATTTTTTTAGTTTTTTATTTTTTCTTAATATTCTATGTAAAAATTTAAAGTGTTTTCCATTTGGCATGGAAGCACAATTTTACCTTTTATAATCAAATTAATAATATTTTATTTTTGTTAAATCAATCTAAATTAGAGTTTATTTTCTAAAAGAAATATTCTAGTATTTTTTTATAATATTAGTATTTATCAATATGATCTCCAAAAAAATTAAGAAGAAAACACCTCAAAACTATATTACTTCAATAAAATTAAAACACTCTTATTCCAACTTTAAGAATATGTTGTTTTTGTCTTTTCCAATTCAAGTTTATTAAAACGATTTAATTTTGTGGTTTTTTTTTTTTTGTAATTTATTGAAGATTCAGCTAACAAACACATTTCCTTTTTTTAATTCATTCTTCAATTAATTATTGCATAATTCATTACTATGATATTTCATTTTTTATTATAATTAAAAAATATATTTATTTTTAATTTTTATTAAGAATATATAAATGAAAAATACTACAAATAAATCTTTTTATAAAAAAAAAAGATTTAAAGAAAATAAATTAGTGTCATAAAAGATACTGTTAAAAACTTAAATCTTCAACAATAAATTTCATCCCCCTAACCGAATTTCCTGGTTTCATCCCTGATGTGATCATTATAGTAGATCACATTAAAATCTACTAAATTTTAATAGTATATCTCATAATGGCTATTCTATTGAAATTGTAAATAACAATGAGATAAAATTTCTTAACGTCTCATCTTTAACATTTGCAGAATTGGATAAAAGCAAATATGGGGAAAAAAATATTAGTTTTCACTTTTCTCGTTTAGATTATACTAGTATTGTTATTAAATTTATAAATTACTCAATTGAAATCATTCACATGACATCAATATTAAAAATAATATTTACTCTTATACTTTTTATAAAAAATTATTGTAAAAAAGAATAATTAATATATTCTAAACATGTGAATATAGACTAAAAAGATTCTTAAATTTTTAATTAAAATCTTCCTTGAACATTGAAAATGAGATCCCTAAAGTATGTTTTATTAAGTCTCTAGCCCTTCCAGCCACTAACATTTCAAAACTGTTTCTTCATGTCATAACCCAATTTTTTCTATCCCTTTTGATATTTTTGTCAAAAATCTTGATTTTTTTAAAATATTAATTTCTCACAAATTCCTAAGTATAAGTGAAAAGTTTTTTAAATTCTGGGCTTTTACGTGATGTGGGAAATTAATTCGGAAAATTTGTCAAAGAGAAATCGAGATTAATTTGAATTAATCATATTTCATACTTGACTGAAAAATATGTAAAATGTGGGAGTTGTTTTTCCGGGACTGAAATTTAACACGCCAGGAAATGAGGGACCAAAGTGAGAGGTGAAAGCAAGTCGTGGATTATCTTGCAAAAGTGGGATTGAAACGGCGTCGTTGTTTAGAAGGAAACCAATAAATTGGGTTAGGGTTTTTTACAAGGATTTGTTGTTGTTTTGTGCGCACATTTGCGTTCAGTGCTTTGGGCTGCTGTGTTATTTTTCCATTTTTTGCAAGAGTCTCTCTTTTTTCTGGGTTTCTTGGGCCTGATTGGAGGGGACAGATGAACTGAAAAGGTTTTTTTTTTGAGTCATTTACCCTTTGGATTCAGTCGGATCCTAAGGATTCGATGGATGTTGTTCATGGATTAGGGTTACTCGTACGAATCAAGCCTGACCCGGTTGTTTTTTTATAATGAGTTTGACCTCTTTAGGCCCGACCCGATGTCATGAACTCATGTTTCTGAACCCTGTTTAAGCAAAATATTTTTAGACCCTTCACGTGCCCATTTGGAGGCCCGAACTTATTTGAAATAAAAAGGAGAAAAAGGAACAAAGAAGCCCACTTTTTTTTTTTTTTTAAAAAAAATTATAAATATAATGTTACATGATATTTTAAATTTTTAATATAATATATTATTATACAATTAATTTTTTTTTATTTGGGGATCCACCATGATATTAAATATATTTATTAATTTAATATCTCATTATATTTATTTAATACAATATCATTATTATAAGTTTATAACTTGTATGGTTTTATAGTTATAGCATTTTTTTTTAATGGCAAATGAAATTAAATCAAAAAAAATTTATTTATTTTATTAACTTGAATTTGACTTATCTTTATTAATCATCATTGACAAAGTCACCATTTAAAAAAATATATTGTTAATTTCACCAAAAAATTTCAACTTATGCAATTGAGTCCTTTAAGTTGCAATCTAATTCAATTATGTCCTTGAAGTTTTACTTTATCAGAGTCTGATCCATATAGTTTTAAACATTTCAATTTAGTCCTTTTCCTTTTAAATTGTTTCAATCTGATCCCTCACTTTCAGTTTACTTTAATTGGGTACATGAGCTTTAAACCCCTTCATTCACATCCATGCATATTTAAATTGTTTCCAATAATCCTTTTTCACTAAAAAAGAAAAGTTTTAAAAGTTGAAATAAACTCCACAATGTTAAAGTATGAAACCATATGTTATATAAGAGATTATGAGGTGTATCTATACCCTTTCTCACTTCTAACTGTATCCTTAGACCTTATTCTTTATATAGACCATGTTTTTGGTGACTTTTCTCATTTTATAATTTAGACGAGTGACAATTCTAATTTTACAAATCATAACACTTAATTTTTCAAATATTTTAGTTTTAAAATTTTAAGTGAGTAGTCAACACTTCATCCATTCTATGTTACTAATTTTTAATGTTAAACTTGACAAAAGAGGTTTAACTAAAACTAGT